AGGAACATCTCCACCCTCACCATTCCTATTCAAAATTATCATGGAGGTTCTAGCCAGTTCGATAAAGCAAAAAAAACAAACAAAACACATACAGACTAGAAAGAAAGAAAACTGTTTTTATGCCCTGATGACATAACTGCTTATGTAGAAAATCCCAAGGACTGGAGTGAGGCGATACCTCATTGTAGTTGATCTGCATTTCCCTGATGGCTAATGATGTTGAGCATCTTTTCATATGCCTGTTGGCCATCTGTATATCTTCTTTGGAGAAATCTCTGTTCAGATCTTTTGCCCATTTTGCAACAACAATTTTGAACACAATTGTTGGAGAGGGTGTGGCGAGAAGGGAACCCTTGTTCACTGCTGGTGGCAGTGCAAACTGGTGCAGCCACTATGGAAAGCAATATGGAGTACCCTCAGAAAATTAAGGGTAGATCTACCATATGATCCAGCTATTCCACTGCTGGGTATTTATCCAAAGAACTTGAAAACACAAAGGCATAAAGATACTTGCACCCCTATGTTCATTGCAGCATTATACACAACAGCCAAGACTTGGAAGCAACCTAGGTGCCCATTAAGGGACGAATGGATAAAGAAGATGTGGTATTTATACACGATGGACTACTACTCAGCCATAAGAAATGACAAAATCCGGCCATTTGTGACAACATGGATGAACCTTGAGGGTATTATGCTGAGTGAAATAAGTCAGAAGGAGAAAGTCAAATACCATATGATCTCACTCATAAGTAGCAGATAAAAATGACAAAAGAAAAAAAGACACATAGCATTGGAGATTGGACTAGTGGTTACCATTGGGGAAGGGGGGAGGGGGGAGGCAAAAGGGGTGATTAGGGTCACACGTGAGGGGATGGACTATAATTAGTGTTCAGGTGGTGAACATGATGTAATGTATACAGAAGTTGAAATATGATGTACATCCGAAAAAAAATAAAAATTAAAAATAAAGAAAGAAAGAAAGAAAAATAATAAAATTGAGAAAGAAAATCCCAAGGAATCTACAAAAAAAGCTAATAGATTTAATAATTCAGTTTAGCAAAAAGCTCAGGACACAAAATCAACATACAAAAACCAATGGCATTTCTATATGGTTGTAATGAACAACTGAAATTGAAATTTAAAAAACAGTACCATTTAAACATCATTCAAAAACAAAGTATTTAAATATAAATCTAACAAAATATATGCAGGATCTGCATGTTGAAAACTATTTGTTGTTGTTAAGTGCCATCTAGTCAATTCCGACCCCTAGTGACCCTGTCTACAGCACAGCAGAACCCTGCCGGGTCTTTTTGTGCCATCCCCTCTCCTTCCAGCACTATATGAGACAATGCTCCACTGCTATTCATAGGGTTTTCATGGCCAACTTTTCTGGAAGTTGGTAGCCAGGTCCTCCTTCTTAGTCTGGCTTAGTCTGGAAGCTCTGCTGAAACCTGTCCACCATGGGTGACCCTGCTGGTATTTGAAATACCAGTGCCTAGCTTTCAGCATCACAGCAACAGGCAGCAGCCACAGTATGACAACTGACAGTGAGTGGTGTGGTTCCCTGACAGGAAATGAACTGGGGAAGTGGCAGTGAGCACCAAATCTTAACCACTAGACCACAAGGGCTGGCTGCTGAAAACTATAGATCCCTGATAAAAGAAATCAAGGAATATCTAAATAAATGGAGAGATATATCATGTGTACAAATTAGAAAACCAAATATTAATAAGAAACTAATTCTATCCAGATGAATCTACAGAATCAACACAATCCTAGTCAAAATCTCAGCAGATATTTTTGTAGAAACTTATAAACTGATGCTAAAATTTATATGGAAAAGGAAAGGAACTATAATAGCCAAAACAATTTTGAAAAAGAACAAAGTTAAGGAATCACACTGCCTGATTTTAAGATCTATTATAAAGTTACAATAATCAAGACTGTGTGGTATTCACTGGCCAAAGGACAGACACACGGATCAATGGAACAGAACAGAACATACGGAAATACACCCAAAATATATATGGTCAATTGATTTTCAACAAGGTGCACCTTCTCGATGGAGAAAGAACAGATGTTTCAACAAACGGTGCTGCTTGGAACAACTAGACATCTATGTAAGAAAAATTAACTTCAACTCATCTCTTACAACGTATACACATTAATTCAAAATGGATCATAGACCTAAATGTAAAACCTAAAATGATAAAACTTTTAGAAGAAGATGAAGGAGAAAAATCTTTGTGAACTTGGGTGAGGCCAAGATTTCTTAGATATGACACCAAAAACATGATCCATAAAGGAAAGAAGTGGACAAATTAGAATTCATCAAAAGTAAAAACTTCCACTCTGGAAAGGACACTTTTAAGAGAATGAAAGACAAGCCATAGGCTGGAAAACATATTTACAAAACACGTATCTAAGAGAAAAGTTATATCCAGAATATATAAAGAATAATCAAAACTGAATAATAAGAAAGCAAAAAGCCCAGCTAAAAATTTGACAAACGGTTTGACAGACATTTCACCAAAGAAGGTATACAAATGCCTAATAAAACACATGAAAAGATGTTCAACACATTAGCTATTAAGGAAATGAGAATTAGTGTGATACCACTACATACCCAGTAGAAAGTCTATAACTAAAATGACTGATAATACAAAGTGTCGGAGAGAATGTGGAAAAAGTGGAATTCTCAAACATTGCTGGGGGGGAAGACAAAATAGTACAGCCACCATGGTAAATCATTTGCCAGTGTCTCAAAAAGTTAAACATATACTTACCATGTGCTGGAACAAATTCAATCCTAGGAATCTGCCCAAGAGAGACTAAAACATATGTCCAGACAAAGACTTGTATGTGAACATTCAGAGCATTGCTTTTCATAATCACAAAAAAGTGGAAATAATCCAAATGTCTCTCAATGAGTGAATGGGTAAACAAACTGTGGTACATCCACACAATGGAACACTCAGCAATAAGAAGGAAAGAACCAGTAATACATGCAACGGCATGGGTGGATCTCAAATGCATAATGCCAAAGTGAAGGCAGTCGGACTCAAAAGGCTATATACAATATGATTCCATTTATATGGCAGTTTTTAAAAAAGCAAAACTTACAGGGACAAAAAATAAGTCAGTGGTTATGAGGGTCTAAAAGTAAGGGGGAAAGATGACTTCAAAGTAGGGTTACCAGATTTAGCAAATAAAAATGCAGGACATCTGGTTAAATTTAGATTTCACTGGGTTTTAAATTTAAACTCTGGGGGTGGGACCCAGCAATTCATGTTTCCCAAGCCTCTAGGGGATTCTCACGCTGCGGTTTGAGAACCACTGCTCACTATACCTGTCACTGGCAAAAAGACCCATAGGAAGCTAATATAAAGAGAAAGGGGCGATTGAGCCTATTCGATCAATCAATTCACCATCATCAAATATTAACTAACAGCCAAAGGGTGTCTGGTAGGTTCTCTGAGAAGAGACTATAACACTGATTCTCAACTGGGGGCAATTTTGCCCCCTGGGGACATTTGGCAATGTTTGGAAACATTTTTGGTTGTCACAAGTGGGAGGAGAGGCTACTGGCATCTGGTAGGTAGAGGCCAGGGATGCTGCGAACCATCCTCCAAGGCTCCAAGGCATAGAACAGCCCTCCACAACAAAGAATTATCCAGGCCAAAATGTCAACAGTGCTGAGGTTGAGAAACCTCGACTATAGCATAAAGATTAATCAAAACATTGTTTTTTACTCCAAAGGCTTTAAAATCAAACCCAATTTTATGAACATGGAAATAAAAAGATAATGACAAGTAAAACATAATTCAAGGTTTCTCATACTCAGAAATACTAGAATTATTCTGAGGAGAATTTATAGACTAGTGATACAGAGCTAAACAGCAATTTGGTAGTAGAAGGCACCTTTATGCTGAAATACCAGGCTGCTTTTTTCAAAAGTTACATGAGAGAATAAATTGGAGATGCCAAGTTTGAGAACTATATGCAAATTAAAATGCATCTGTAGACAATGTATGACCAGAAAATACACTGGCCCAAGAATCATGGAACTTGAGTTCTAGTTTTGCTTTGGTGTTAGGTAGCTGTGTAATTTAGCACAAGTGACTTCATTATCTGGGCTTCAGTCTGCTGATCTGATCTGTAAAATGAGGGGGTTAGACTATTTAAGTCATATCGAAGACCCCTTGCAGCTTTAACATACTAGGCCTATGTCAAAAAATGAGCACAGGAAACATTCGAGTATAGTTTTTACAGGATATGAGGGGGCATGGTATCATTATGTTTCCTTTGGGGTAGTCTTGTGTTGACTTTGGTACTTTTGGTTCTTGTGTTTAGAAGGTGCTAAACAATGCTGCTTACCTTTTCTTATTTATTTATAATAGTTATATTAATAATTCATGTTCATTGCAGAAAGAATATACAGATAAACTACTCTTTTTTACTAAGTAAGATTCTGAGATGAATTATAGCAAGAATGTGCTAAGATGGTCTAACAAAAGTCAATTTTATTTTTGTAATTACTCAAGTGAAAATGTTTAGAAAGTGCTGTTACAACTTGTGTGCATATGCTTAAGGAAGATTACATTATTATTTAACATAATAATTGTCATGCTAAAAAAGAGAAAGACATTCCACAACCCTTTCTCAGAGAACATATATTTTAGTTCAGTATGAAATTAAGAGTAATAAAAAGTCTATCAGCATCTCTATACTTACAAAACATAAATCTATAAATATACAACTATAATAATGCCAAGATTCCATCTTCAGATGTTTTTAAATTGAAAAAATACATAATTTCTTATTTGTTTATAAAAAGAGAAGTGAATGGGCCAAAAAAAACCTTATTTAGCTTTAGGGTTAGAAGTATGATAGCCTTTATTGCCAAACGTGTCAGCGTGTCTGCTTCTCTTTCAGTGTTAGAAGAATTCCAAATAATAGCATTTGACTTCACTAATTTCCAAAGAGTAACTTACTTTAATGTGATGGACACCACTCAGTTTTCCAATCTGCTGCTCAATCGTCCAAACACAGGAACTACACGTCATCCCCTCAACAGAGATGGTGACAGAATTCACATCCACACTTGGATCCATTTTGCTTTCTTTACATTCCTATTAGAAACAATGAACTCATTAATTTCTGCCATGAAAATAATTCTTCCTCAACTTTCTCCCCACCTCCCCAATTGAAAATATACCTCTAATAAGATATGGTCAGCATTCTGTACTCTCACCTCATTTTACTCCCACCTTGGGGCCTTTGCTTTAGCTATTCCTTTGGTTTCGGACTTTCTTCTTCCAGATATCTGCATAGCAAATGTCTTCACCTCTTTCAGCTCTTTACTCAAATCTAACCTTTTTAATGTGTCATACACTGACCACGCTGTTTAAAATTGCAACCCACATCCCTTCCACATGCACATACTCTGATTCCCCTTATCTCTGCTCTACTTTTTTCTTTTCTTCGTAGAACTTATCACCTTTTAATATACTCCATAATTTACTGATTATGTTTATTCCTTATCATCTGACTTCCTGTGGTGGTTTTAAAATGTATTCACAAATTCTTCCCTATTCCTTCCTTCAAGAAGTGGAATTTAACTCCTTTCCCCTTGAGTGTGGCCTGGACTCAGTGACTTGCTTCCAACAACTAGAACGTGGTGGAAGCGACAAGGTGTGATTTCCAAGACTAGGTCATAAAAGGCACTACGGGAAAGAGGGAAAAAGTCCTTGTGGCTTCCTTCTTGTCCTCTCTCTTGAATTACCCGATCTGCAGGAAGCAACCTGCCATGTCATGAGGACATTCAAGCAGCCTTATGGAGAGATTCATGTGACAAGAAATTGAGGCCTCCTGTCAACAACCAGCAAAGACCTGAAGCCTCCTGCCAACAGCCAGATGAGTGAATCATCTTGGAAGCTGATCCTTCAGACTCAGTTAAGCCTCTAGATGCCTGCAACCCCAGCCGACATATTGACTACAACCTCATGAGACCCTGAGTCTGAACGATCCAGCTAAATTACTCCAAAATTCATGACCCACAGAAACTGTGAGATAATAAATGTTTTGAGCCACTAAATTTTACGGTAATTTGTTACACTGAAATAATTAATGATTATACTTCCTACCAGAATGAAAATTCCATGAAGGCAGGAATCTGCTTTTTTCACTGATATTGGTTTGAACCAAATGAAATTGCCATTGTTGCATATTAAAATAGTCGAATATTGGCAATTTCATATAGATCAACCTAATATATCCTATGGAACATGGTGAGGGGAACTGAGTGGGAATAGGGTAGGAAATAAGGTGAAAAAAGAATTATCAGTGTATAAAATTTTGTACTTTTTTAAATTGAGATATAACTGACATAAAACATTGTGTAAGTTTAAGGTGTACAGTGTGTTGGTTTGATACATTTATATACTGCAATATGATTATCACTGTTAGCAAACATCTCTATCACATCACTTAATTATCATTTTTTTGCGGTGAGAACAATTAATATCTAGCCTCTTTTGTATCCTTTGAATTTTGTACCATGAGAATTTATTATCTATTCAAACACAGACAAAGACACACATACATATGCACACAAAAGCATGATGGACCTGAAATACTAGAATACAATAAGATGTATATGAGTTTGTAGTTGAGGCATTCTAAGATCTTTGGTCTTGTCTAGAATGTATACAGAGAAAGAGATAAACCTTAGATTTTGTTAAGAATAACATGTTAAAACTTTAAGGGTGAGGGTGACATCAGCATTATGGTGGAGTGAGCTTTCCCCATAAACTCTCCCCTCAAAGATACAATGAAAAGGACATTCATATTCCAACAGAGGACATCACACAACACAAAAGATGTCTCAGAGACCCACACAGCCATACATAGGAAGGTGGAGGTGCTGGAGGTCCCCCACCAAGGAAGTGGAATGAGGTAAGAGAATGCTTCTCTTCCTCCTCAAAGGACAGCAACCCAGGGATTGTGCACAGCCTCTGAGAGGAAAGCAGGGAGGGAGCAGTGGCCCTCTGCAGGAACACCATAGATATCCGAGGTCCCTCGCAGCCCAGGGGAAAGCCTCCCACAGAGGTGACTAGCTATTGCAGGGGTGTCTTCATCAAGCCAACACCTCAGGAGAGCAGATAGCAAGGGCAGACTGAGAAGCCCCCAAGGTTGGGCAGGAGAAAGAAAGCACCCCTCCCCCCAACCTGGGGCCCAGGCCCAGCATCTGGGAGCTGTCCCATGGATCACAGTGGGCTCAGAATATGCAGCTCTTGACTCTCACCCAGTAGCGACAGGCGGAAGCAGTGATCAAATACTACTACAATGTGGAAGCACAAATCCATGCTGCCTAGCAGTATGAAAAAATATATTAAATCTCCAGACCGGAAAGAAAATGACAATCACCCAGAAATCAATCATGAAGACACAGAAATCTATAATCTAAATGATGGAGAATTCAAAATAGCTATCATTAAAAAACTCAACAAGTTAAGAGAATGCAGATAGACAATTCAACGAGTTCAGGAGCTACTTCACAAAAGAGATTGAAACTATAAAGAAAAACCAATCAGAAATACTGGAGATGAAAAGCACAATGGGTAAGATAAAGCAGAATATGGATTGCCTGAACAGCAGAGCTGATATCATGAAGGAAGGAATCAGCAACATTGAGGATAAAAATATAGAAATGCTTCAGATGGAGGAGGAGAGAAAACTAAGACTAAAAAGAAATGAAGAAAGTCTCCAAGAAATATCCAATTCAATTAGAAAATGCAACATAAGGATTATAGGTATTCAAGAGGGAGAAGAGGAGAATGGAGCAGAAAGCTTGTTCAAAGAAATAAGTGGAGAACTTCCCAAACCTGGGGAAGGAGATGGACATCCACATAAAAGAGGCTATCAGATCTCCTAACTATCTCAATGTAAAAAGACCTACTGCAAGGCATATTGTAGTGAAGCTGGCAAAAATAAAATCACTGAGAAAGAAAAAAATACTATGGGCAGCAAGTCAGAAGAAAATAACTTACAAAGGAAACCCTATCAGGCTTTCAGTAGAAACCTTACAAGCTAGGATAGAGTGGAATGACATATTTGAATCTTTGAAAGACAAAAACTTTCAGCCAAGAATACTCTATCCAGCAAAAATATCCTTCAGATATAATTGAGAAATAAAAACTATCCCAGATAAGCAAAAGCTAAGGGAGTTCATTGCCACAAGATCCTCCCTACAATAAATCCTCAAGAGGACCCTCATACCGGAAAAAAAAGAAGCAAAGAGTTATAAAGCCCTGAGTAAGGAGATAAATAGGTAGACAAAATCAGAAAATTGTAGCTATCCATCAGATCAGTTTAGCAAATACTCAAGTAAAACATTAAAGATAAAGGGAAGGAAAACACCAAAAACAAAGAAAAGCTTGTCATTTTAACCACAAACTCACAACACAAGATGGAATAAGATGTGACAAAAACAACTTAGCAGGGGAAGAGGAAAGGAACTGAATCAGCTTAGTCTAAGGAAACAAGAGGTCATCAGAAATTGGACTATCTCATCTACGAGATCTGGCATACAAACCTCACTGTAACCACTAAACAAAAAAGTAAAACAGAGACACAAATGACAAATAAAGAGAAAACTAAGAAATCCAGCATAAAAAACTACCTAACTGAATTGGTAGTCCAAAATGCACAGGACAGGAAACAAAGGAAATGTACGAGAACTGGAAAACAAGCAAAAAATGGTAGCATTAAGCCCTCATCAAAAATCAGTCTAAATGTAAATGGAGTGAATTCTCCAATAAAAAGACACAGAGTGGTGAGATGGATTAAAAAACAAGACCCAACAATATTCTGCCTCCAGGAAACACACCTCAGCTCCAATGACAAACACAGACTCAGAATGAAGAGATGGATGACGATACTACAAGCTAATTGCAAACAAAAGAAAGTAGGTGTTGCCACACTTATACAAAGTAGACTTCAAGAAGAGAGATAAAGAGAGACAAAAAGGGGCAGTATATAATGATCAAAGGGATACTCTACCAAGAAGATGTAACACTTATAAATATATATGTACCCAACAGAGGAGCACCAAAGTACATAAAGCAACTATTAACAAATCTAAAAGGAGACGTTAACAACAACACAATAATAGTAGGGGAACTCAACACTCCACTGACATCAATGGATAGATCATCCAGACAGAAAGTCACCAAGGAAACAGTGGAATTAAATGAAAAACTATATCAGATGGACTTAATAGTTATATATCGAACACTCTATCCAAAAACAGCAGAATACACATTCTTCTCAAGTGCACACGGAACACTGTCAAGGACAGATCATATGCTGGGAAACAAGGCAACCGTCAATAAATTTAAGAAGATTGAAATAATAACAAGCATCTTTTCCGACCTCAATGCTATGAAACTAGAAATTAACTACAAGAAGAACGCTGGGAAAGGGACAAAGATATGGAGACTAAACAACATGCTACTGAACAACTAATGGATCACTGAAGAAATTAAAGGAGAAATCAAAAAATATCTGGAGACAAATGAAAATGAAAACATACCATACCAACTCATATGGGATGCAGCAAAAGCAGTACTAAGAAGGAAAATCACTGCAATACAGGCTCATCTTAACAAACAAGAAAAATCCCAAACAATCTGAAACTACACCTAACTGAATTAGAAAAACAAGAATAAACAAAGCCCAAACTCAGCAGAAGGAGGGAAATAATAAAAATCAGAGCAGAAATAAATGCAATTGAAACAAAAAAGACAGTAAAAAGGATTAATGAAACAAAGAACTGGTTCTTTGATAAAATAAACAAAACTGACAAACCTCTAGTCAGACTTAACAAAGAAAAAAAGAGAGAAAGCTCAGATAAACTTATAAACAAAAGAGAAGAAATCATAATGGATAACACAGAAACACAAAGGATTCTAAGAGAATACTATGAAAAACTATTTGCCAAAAGATTGCAAAATCTAGAAGAAACGGATAAATTCTTAGACTCTTACAACCTCTCAAAGCTGAATCAAGAAGAAATAATCTGAATAGATCAATCACAAGTAAACAGATTGAAAGAGTAATCAGAAGCATC